AGAGGGGTTTCTTTCCTTTTGTTTATATGGGAAGAAGAAGGAAAGTATTAATTTTTATTTTACAATGTTATTTTTTATTTGTATACACTATCTTTTAAAAATAACATCACATTATGCAAGATGAAATGAGATTTTAAGTTTTTTACAATTTATTTTATTTAAAACTTGGTATAAAAATAAAAATAAAATTTACATTTTTAAAAATTATGTCAAAATTTCTACAAAACAATAAGTGGCAAAAATATTTTATTTTATAAAATAATCAATTAAAGTGCATAAAAAACAAAGGTACGCATGATTTTTGAAAAGTGAACTATCATGTTCTTTTGGAGAAGGAGGGAGTAATTTTTATTTTTCTTTTTATTACAAAGTATTTCTTCATTATTTATTTATTTACAATTAATTTCAAGTATTCTTATTCTTACTTGTTTATATTTATTTATTTTATGATATTTACTTTATCTTCATTATATATTTAATATAATTATTGTTATTTAATTTGTTTATTTTAAATAGCTTTTAGCTCATGTGATTCAAGCTGCGACAAGCATTTGCATAATAATGAGCTCTGTTAGTTTATTCGGATACGGGTATAATAATACGTTTATTCATACGTTCGTGTATAATACAGACCACTTTTTAAAAATACGTCTTATTATATGTTTTATACGTTCGGAGTACGTGTACGGATACGTTCGCGTATTATATGTTTGATTTTTTAAAAATACGGATTATAATGAATGCATATGTTTCTAATAAGAAACACATTTTAAACTTTGACATTGAATACGAATACATCATAAAAATCTAAAAATTCAACCAACACTACGATTAATTGTTTATTCATTTTTTCCATGTATACCCAAAGGAGATCTTTTAATATAATTATTATTTTGTACTTCCACAAAATATATTCAAAGTAAGAACACATTCTGAAAAATGAAGCCAACATTTAGACACGGATAAAGCACTTAAGACATGACAAAAATTATATTATTAGACAATTTATGTTTTACAAAATTGATTAAATATTTATCATAAATTTTAAAGGAAGATTTAAGTCTCTTTATAATTTAAATATGAACTTACTAAATAATGTTTTACACAATTTAAAGTTGAGTAACATTAAATTGAGTTTATATTTTTTATTTTTTAGAATACAAAAATATAGTTACGAATTTAGATTTTTTGGATTTAGATCATACAAATGAAATCAAATTTGTATTTTTGAACCTGGAAAAATATTTAAGCTTAAGAAATAAATACAAAAAATTGATCACATTTTCAAAATCAAACAAATAGAGAAAATGTTGTTGTCTACTATTAGCTAGTGCGGATGCAATGTTGGACTTCCACCCGGATGAAGTCGAAGAGACTGGTAGAGTGTGAGTGACATTTTATTAACAAAAGATATTGGTGGATGACTTGAACTACGATATGACTTTTAATACTTTTACAATTATTGACTCGCCAAATTTTAAAGATTTATATTTTTGCAGAGAGACAACCAAATAGTTTGATCTCATCCGAATATTGCCCTAAAGATTTTGCAATATAATATGTATAAAATTTGTAAATACGTTAGGGGTCAAAAACATACGAATTATACGTTCGTGCCATTAAAAATTCATATTCGAGAGTATAATACGTGTATCATACATACAGGTGTATAATATGCGTATTATACGCGAATAAGCTAACAGAGATAATGAGCAATTATTTAGAGTTAAGCCCGACCTAAATATGTGTTTTCAGATGTCTTATTTCAAGTGTGAGATCTAGGGGCTGTTTGTTGCAGCTTCTTAATGGTTCAGATGTCTGAATGGTTCAACATTTAATGGTTCGGGCTGTTTGTTTCAGCCTCTTAATGGTTCAGATGTGTGAATGGTTAAGAGATTTGCCTCTGAATGGTTAATTATTATACAGAGTCTGAATGGTTAAGACCTCTTATCTGAATTGATCAGACATTTGCCTCTGAATAGTTAAGTAATATACTAGCTCTTAATGGTTCAGACCTCTTACTGGTTCAGCACTTAATGGTTCAGACCTCTTACTGGTTCAGCACTTACCCGGATGAAAGTTGGGGCTTTTAATTTATTCTTCTTCTCTTTGAGTTTTTTTGTCCCTTTAAATTTTTTTTCATGTATATATAAATACAACTCTTATGGGTGACATGATCCAAACAAAAATAAATGAATTCTCCAAGTAGTTCCCTTCAGTGTTTAATTAGCTACCATATGTGGGTAAATTGTCAAATGCAAGGCCGACCCTCAGAATTCGATGGCCTTGCCTGGGCCGAGACATACAGAAAAAGACCCTAAAAGTCTTATCCTTAATGTCTTAACGAGTTAAAGTATATAAACTAATTATATTTAAATGACAATTAACATAATAGTATAATATTCTGTAACAAAATAAGTAAATGACATACAATACTATAGTAAAGGATTTATATATACTTACCTTCCCAAATCCATGTCTTGGAAATTAGACCAGACATCGACCTGGACGAGCTAGTGGGTCAAGGGTTAATCGGTCAACCCATGGTCAACGACTCGGTCAACTTTTAGTAAAAGAATAATATTTTATATTATATTATATTAGATATTTTTAATTAATAAAGAATTTTAATTTATGTTTTTCACTCTTCCATTTAATTTTAAATATTATTTTGCATATGCCGTCATATTTTAAATGTTTCTTAATTTTTATTAATGACAAAAAATGTTTAGGTACTCCATATTTTTCTTTTATATATATATATATATATATACACACACACACACACACACAGATATATATATATAAGGTATAAGTGTTCATACTAATTTTTAGATAAAACATAAATAATTTTATTTATTTATTTATTTGAACTATTTTTTATAAGTTCATTCAACAAGTATTAGTTACTAGTGTTTTTTTTCTAAGTAATTGGAAGTCTTGTTAAAATCAATACAGTAAATATATATCTTATTGCGTGATTATTGTACCAATAAGTTCTGTAGCTCAACTGGTTGGATTAACTCCTACTGTATGAAATGCTCAGGGTTGGACCCTCATTCTCGGCTTATTGGGATTTTTAATTCTTATAAATGAATAACATGTACACATGTGAAAAAACTTGGGCCCCTTAAACCATTGGGCCCCTCCCTTGGGTCGGCCCTGGTCATATGTAGTCGATCAGCAAGCTAAGCTTTTACAATATATACATCCACTCATGACATGTTACGGTCAGATGACACAAAGCTTACTAAACTGTAAGGTAAAGCTTACCATATTTTTTCAATACTTTGATATTTTTTTAAAAAAAAGATAAAATCAAAGGAAGAGGTGCTGATTAGATTGTGATCGTGGATCGCTACCTTTGATAGCCGCTTGCCGCTGCTGACCGGTTAATAGGTGTTGCTAGCTATTTTATTTTTAATTAATTTTTTAATTTTTAAAATTTTAAAAAATGGTGAGTTTTGGTGTTCAAAGTGGCAAGGTTTGCTTGATTTCCAGGTGCGCTTTGTAGTGGCTATTGGTGAGCTTTGCAGTATAATGTGGCGAGCTTGACGTTATCTCACCGAAACACGTCATCTCACCGTAAGGTGTCATCTGACTGGAGTCAATCCATATATGCTCCCAAACCTTTGGCTGCTATAGTCTTTTTTATTTGTTTCAAGATTGATATATCCCACGAAGTCCAAATCTTATGTGGCATATTAAGAATAATATATAATTTTATAATTCATATTTATGTAAATGTTGTATAGTCTATTCATAACAAACAAATAGTTCTCTCTCCCTTCGAAAACAAATGTCATAGTTTGACTTTTCTGTCAAATTGTGATATTTTTGGGCATAAAATAAATGCAATGTATATTCATAAATGTTATAAAATTTGATAAATCAAAAATAAATATTAAAATGAGTCTTATTATATTAAATTTACACTATAACCAATTATATTTTTTAATAAATGTATATATAATTAAAGAATATCATAGTTTGTTTAAAGAGTCAAGTCAAATTGTGACATTTATTTTCGGACAAAGATACTTTAAGTCTTTAACTACTTCGTCGGAGGTTAACAGTTTTTCTCCCATGCCTCATTACTTGAGAGGACATGGATACTCTTCCACTAATTTCTTGACATTTTTGACATGTGTACAAATAATTATAGCTAATGCTTGTGACGGATAATAATTAATAGAGTAATGTTAGAGTCACAAACAAATAGTTCACAAAAATCACAAACTTGTCTTTTTAAAAATCTCACTCCTCATAAAACAATTTTCCTTCATCCCTTACAATATTCCGTATAATTTTTATTCAAATAATATTTTTCATTCCATTATTTTTTCTAAGATGAGTTTTTTTCTATATTTTATTTAAATTTTCTTTATTTCATTGAGGTCATTTTTCTAAAACTAACATGCAACGTCATCTATTCTTTTTACTTGATCAATTTGGATTTTGGGTATTTGACCGGTATCAATTATAATTCTATTTATTTTAAAACTGGTATAAAATAAAAAAAACTAATTTATATATGCATAATAAGAGTAATAAACTAATATTGGTTAAAACTACACTTTTTAATCAAATGCCTTTTAAAAATGAAAAATAAAAAAGATAAGAGTTTGACCTATGGCTAGTAAGGCTATGTCTTCTTCACCGAATCTGAATGGTTCTGATTTGATTAGAATAAGTATTGATCTGAGATCTGATCTTATCTGAATATAGTTACGAAGTATATTTGTAGCTATTTTTTATTTGATCTGATTCCAATAAAAATAAGTTATAAGTAAAAAATGAGTTCAGGACACATGACAACATGACAAAATGAGTTCAGGACAACATGCCAATAATTTGCATATTTTTTGTGCAAAACTGAACCCATACCGCTCACTTTCCTTTTGTTTTAATTTTTGGTTTTGAGTGAAAACCAACCAAACCGCTAAAATTGAACTCACCCCTAGTTTTTGCAATACATTGTATCACTTGCTCAATGGATAATAATCAAATCCAATTTCTTGTATATAATATTGCATTCTTATGGTACATCTTTTCCTATCTTTCTGTATTGCTGTGAATGTTGAAATATACACAAGGGAAACATACATATCAATTTGCACCAGAACTCCAAATCTTATGACTTACAACCTAAACCAAACAACAAGACCTTTTCTATTATACAATGAAAGAATTGAATAACAAACCTGACCCAATTTAATGAGAAAAAAAAAAGAATGAAGGTGCAAGATGCTGTATTTCTTGGAATGCTAAAGACAGCACGGCGCGAAAACCAGAAAAGATTCATATGCAGTGTACCAGAACGTGCAAACCGTTACGAGTTAGGGGACAAATGTGCCAATATATCCGAACCCAGCGATGAAGAAGGCGATTGATTGGATGAAGAGGTAAAGGAAGTAATGGTTCCTCCCAAATGCAACATCATAGCACCCACAGTAGAAGAGGTAGGCACCAGTTGCAAGTTCTAGGATATGAATCCTGTTCAAAATGTTTCAATTTAACCTAGGATCAATTTAATGATCAACAACCTTAAATATTACTGCATTTGTGCTTCATTTCATCACATACGTACCTTTCTCCAATCCTAAACCGAGGTTTTTTCGACACTTTCGTTGGTGCTGGTTTTAGCTTGAAAGCCGCGGCGTCTCCTAGCTTCTCGGTTACAATCCATTCGTTCACTCTCCCGGCTTCCAACAATCCGATGAAGGTAGCCTTTGTGCGGTGGAGAGACATAACGTTCTCAAAAAGGATCCAGAACACAAGCAAATGCAATGACCTGCATGTACGTATAGAATATAAAAAATTTTCCTATGTCTACAACCAAAAGTTTGAGTTTTTGGTTCAAAGGAGGGATTGAGACAGATAACAGAACCTTGGAGTCCCAACAGCATTGAGGAGAGTGATGATAGTGGGAATATAAACAGATGCCCATTTTGGAACATCGACCTCGGGGACGAGAACGGTTGCAGGCAAGACGACGCAGTAGAAAACAAAAGTGACAATGTGTGCAACGATCTTTCGGACAAAGAAGAAGCTGTAGATGACATGGATTTTCTTCCACAAGTTCACTTTCTGCAAATGTAATCAGGACAAGATTACTAGTATTAAGAAGAGTAGCAACAATTATAAGATGATAAATTCATATAAATAATAAAATACCTTATTTTTGACAATCTCCATCACCATTTTCCTGAAAAGATTAGCAGGGCCACAAGACCACCTGTGTTGTTGGTATCGATACGCCTTGAATGTGCTTGGCAATTCATTCTTCACCTGCACCCATAAACCATCTCCGAGTCAACAAGACTCTGATGCCGTTTCAGGGATCCAACTCAGACAGAAAATCTAAAACTTGTAGTTATAGGCCAGGAAGTAGTGTGATGATGTAAAATAAAGACCTTGAGGGAACCAAGGTATAAGAACTTCCATCCTTTGAGAGAAGCACGAACGGCTAAGTCCATGTCCTCAACCGTGGTTCGGTCCTTCCACCCGCCTGCCTCGTCTATAGCAGCCAGCCTCCATACACCCGCCGTCCCTGTTTCACAAATCTTGTACGTGAAAGGAGAATATATAACTAAAACCTTTTCATTTTCAAAAGTCACAGTTATACCGATTGATCACATATACAAGGTATATTTACTTGAACAATGACCAGGAGTACTACATTGAAAAATAAAAACACATAGTACTATATTGGAAAAGTCATTATGTTTACGTACTATTTAGGTAAATTCCCATATATATATATATAGTGTCATGAATTAATGAATTTATGTACCATTAAAGCCGAAAAAGGCATAGGTGGAGGAGCCAACTTGTTGCTCCACAGTGAAATGATAATCTAAAGACATTTCCTGCATTCTTGTCATCAAGCATTCATCCGCATTCACTGCAACATAAATCAACACCCACCAACCCATCATCATCATATATACAACCAACCAATGCAACAAAGGCAAATAAGAGCTAGTTATCTAGTACTTCCTCCGTCCCGCAAAACATTTCTAGTTTTGACTTTTGAAAGAGGAAATTGTAGAAGTTTGATCAAGGTGAAGTGACGACAATTGAACGTAGTGAATGCGGTAGGGCGTAGAACGTAGTTGAGGTATGTTCGGTTAGATTTTAAAAAATGACAGCAATTATGTTCATTTGACCCAAATTGAAATGTTTTATGAGACAAGTAAGATGTGAAAGTTGAAAAGTTTTATGAGATGGAAAGAATGTATACTGTATGTAACATATGGGGACGTATTGTCATTGATTATTTGATAAAATAAATTATCCTTATATAGAATTTCAAGTTGAAGAGTTTGAGTGACTCACAATTTTTTTTTCAATTATATGATCTGCGTCACTTTTAACCATACTTTTTTTTCACTTTTGTCAAACTTTGTGACATGTCAAAGCAAGAGTATTTTTGGACGGAGGAAGTACTATATTCATCTTCTTCGGTAGGAAAGCTCAGGTAAGACACTAATTTGTGAATTGTAATAAATTCATAATCAAAGGTGTTTTGAGTACAACATCTTTATATTTACACAACAATAAGGGTATCTAACGTTTGTTTACATAAACTCTATCCAAATCCTACATTCGAACATCAATCTTGCATCTACACCACAATTTTACACTAGCACTTTGATAACTCACGGTTGAACAAAATGTGGGTACGATCACAAAATTTTAAACAGACATTTTGTGCAAGTGTGAACTATCGAGGTACTGCTAGTACGAAATTGTGGGGTACAGAGTGATGCACACCTAACATGATGCTTGGTCCACATTTGAAAGTGAGGTGGTGGGTGGTGAGGAGAACATGGGCAAGTGTGTGATTATTGGTGTCAAGATCGACTCAAAGCTGCTCCTTATAGAAGAATATATATGATTGTCTTTCGATCACATGCGCCTTTGTGTACTTGTGAATTGTGATTATTATGGTTACTATTAATTAGAGACAAAACTTGGGTGCCCTTATAGTCCCCTTACCTTACCTTACTAAGAAGAGGAAGAAGAAAGACAAAAACTAGCTGGTGTCGGTTCCTTTTTTAAACCAAGTGCTTCTACTGATGCCGGGCCAGTTGCGCCACTTAAGGGACGACCGAGGCACATGTGTAACATGGAGCCTACTTTTGGAATACAAAGGATAGTGTAGGAATCCTATCCTATGGGTGGATGTTTGTGATTTTAGTGTTCTCGGTTATTTTGTATGATTGGATTTAATTAGACCAGATAAGTATTTGAATAGATATTGTCAAGCGAGTTAGGAGGCGCGGAGTACGCACTCCTTCAACGATATTACAAATTTATAGCGGGGTCCGGGGGGTGGCCCGTGGTAGCGGGGTCCAAGGGACAGAGCCCTTAGCCGGGGTCGATTTTCGTAAACGGAAGTGAGTCCCCTTCATATTTTTGTAAACAGAGTCTGAAACCCTAAAGTTTCGGACGTACGGATAAACGTCAAAATCGACCCAAAACCAAAGGGAAAACTCGCGCGAACACTTACGTACTTTAGAAAAAGTTCGGTTCGATTATCTCCCTGTTGCGCGAATGTTCGCTTTCTTACGCGAACGTTCATGTCTAGTTGCTAAAATCTTCAACTCTATAAAAGGAGTCGTTGAGTATGGTTGAATGTAATTTTTCCGAAAGGCTTGTTCTTGATTAGCGTCTTATCCGATTAAAGTATTTTGGTATATTTCAAAACAACTTTGATCTCAAAGCGTATTCGTGATTCGTTAAATGATCAAGTTTTAATTCTCGTTCTTCGCTTTATTATTAATTCTTCAACACTGCTTCGCAACGTTCATCCGCCTAAATTTTCTAGCAATGGACGCTTAGGGCACTCGAACCGATCCCGATATTTCCCGAAAAAACCGAGAATACCGTACCGAAAAATATCGAACCGGTAAAATGTGAGAACATCTACATTTTGAGACCATATAAGCATCACTCCTTAAAGAAATTAAAGATCGGATTGATTGCGAAAAATAAGTGACTGTCTACTTTTGACTTTTTACGATCAAAATTGATAAACTTTGAACAGAAATGAAATAAAACTGATATCAGATGCTAATGAAAAATAATAATAATAGATTTATTTTAATATAGTGTTTTCTAAATAGTATTTTATCTAATCAATATATTTTATAAATATTGTTGTATTGAATTGTAGGTCAAAGGTGAAAAATCTTATCAATATACTTTATAAATTTTTCACTATTTAATTATAAAAAATGAGCCCCATCCCCGAGAGCTCCCTTAGACTCGGCAGAACGGTCAGGTGGCAAAGAGTGGAGAATGCACCTGGTACTTGCAGAGGCCTTATGCTTAGCATAGTTGCCTCCTAACACAATTATTAGGAATTGAACTTGGACTTTACCACATTGACACTCCTTGCCTTGCCAACTGCGCTATACCCTATAGTATGTGCCACTACTACCACACCCCGGCCCGAAGACGAATTGCTTTCTTTCAGCTTTAAACAGACCACGTACGCAACCTCTATTATTATTATTATTATTTTATTATTATCATTATCATTATCATTACGGTCCGGTTCTAGTGACACCAGAGAACGGTGCCACTCCGATGCCACTGGGATTTTGGGACACCTCCGATGTTTTGTTCGTAAAATTGACGGTTCTAATTGAGAGCTTATTAATTACTACGTACTCCGGGTATTAAGGAGGATTAATTATTATAATAATAATCGGTATGTGTGTGGTTACGACTAAGGGGCTGTTTGGCAACTTCTGAATAGGTAAGTGCTGAACCAGTAAGAGCTCTGAACCATTAAGTGCTGAACCAGTAAGAGGTCTGGACCATTAAGAGTTAGTATATTGCTTAACTATTTAGAGGCAAATGTCTGATCAATTCAGATAAGAGGTCTTAACCATTCAGACTCTGTATAATACTTAACCATTCAAAGGCAAATCTCTTAACCATTCAGACATCTGAACCATTAAGAGGCTGAAACAAACAGTCTGAACCATTAAGTGCTGAACCATTCAGACATCTGAACCATTAAGAGGTTGAAACAAACAGCCCCTAAATTATCATTATTTAATTATAAGCGATGTGGTTACTACGCGCTACGCCGCACACATGCACAACAACCCACTCACTTTGAAGCCACAAAGAACCAATACTATGATGTGACATGACACCATATTTATTTATTTTATTTAATCAATTAAATACAAACCAGACTTTCTCACCGACACTTCCCCGCCTCTGAAAATAAACCTTTTCTTTAATTACTCCCTATAAATTTCAAGTGTGCAATCTAATTAAAAGAAACACTATTGACATGTCTCTCATTCACAACTTTTTCTTTAATTACTCCCTATCAATTCAAGTGTGCAATCTAATATAAATCACAAATTTTAAAATTATTTCGAAAATTCTAGAAAATGAGATGTGATAATTTATTGTATTTCATCAAAAGATTAATGAAAACACAAAAATAAATAAAAATTATGAAAATAGCACCATAATAATAGCAGTATAATTCATTGTGGGATTGGAGTACATGTTTAGACTTTTCGGATTAAAAAATTTGTTGTTTGGGAGAAAACGGGTTACAATATATAATAAACAATTATATTTGATTCCTTTTGACTTATGAAACTTGGATTAAAAAATTATTTTATCTAGTTAAAATAAGTAGCATTATTTTGGGCACGCACAAGAAGCTATGGATCCTAGGCCAAAATAAATTTAGTCATTAAACAATGTCTTATGTAGAAATGTCAAGTTTTATGAAAATGATGAAAGATCACAGTAAATATTGTGGACTAAATTTGGCACACTTAGAAAAGCTTAGGTGCCTACAAATAGAAATACCACCTCCCTCCCAGAGTATTTGTCCACTTTCATTTTTACACATCATCCAATATACTTCTTTAATCCATTTTATCTTCTAATTTGTATATTAAAAAATTATAGAAATTGTATATTAATACTCCCTCTGTCGACCACAGACACTATTCACAGGGTCAAACTTTACTCACTTTGTTTGCTCAATTATACTAGTCATTTCATAAAATAATATAGTCTTGTCACCTCTACTTTTGTAGAACTTTTCATGTAGTTTATTACTATATAAATTTTATTTTAAAATTTTACTCCTATAATGAATTAAATTGAATTGAAAATAAAGTCGGTCAAGTCTCGTAACGCGTAATGGAAAAATCATACATGGACGGAGGGAGTAATCTATATGTTAAGACAAATCAAACAAGATAACACATGACTATATTTAGACTTACACATTGAGAGAATTTGATGAATCAAAGTGCTTAGATGAACATTTTTAAAAGTCAAAACTGTCTGGGACGGAGGGAGTAATTGACAAGTAGGTGATCAACCAACCATTCCCAACAAATTTTAAAATAAATATCCTAAATTTGTACAAATACTTCATTCGAACACAGAAATTTATATAAAAAAATTATATTCTCTCTCTTTTTGAAAATGTTCTTTCTATTTAACTTTTTACGGTCTCAAATGTTGCACTTTGATCATTAATATCTATATTTAAACATGGGTATATTTATAAACATTGTATTTTTTGCACATACCGGAGTCAAAATTCACAAACTTTGACCGAAAAAAGTTAAATAGAAAGAATATTTTCAAGAGAGAGAGAATAGTTGAAAGTGACAAAAATAGAGAAAGAGGTGGGAAAAATACTGACCGAATTTCCATCGAGCCTGGACGAGGGCAAGTTGGGGATTGTGCAGGAGGAAAGGAATGGTGCGGCAGAGGAAATCGGGCTCGGGTTGGAAATCGGCATCGAAGATGGCAACAAAATCGCATTGCTTCACATAAGGATGTTTCAAGCCTTCCTTTAATGCCCCTGCCTTGTACCCCTTCCTGTTCCCTCTTATTTCATACTTTATGTTTATTCCTTTGCTTGCCCATCTTTGACATTCCACTTCCACCATATTCTATACATACATCGTCCTCCCAAATATTAATAAGGAGTACAATAAATTTAAAAGGACCTATTAACACTAGCTTCTAGTACCAACGGATTAAGTATTTCGATGCTCTGTTCACAAAATTGATAACTTTTGCCTCCTAACTCCGTCTCTAAACCCTTCGCCGCACCCCACCCTTGCCCCACTCCAACCCCACCCTAACCCCCCCCTTTATCCCTCCAAATGTGTGGTTATTATGCAAGGGGGCTTAGGGTGGGGTATGAATGGGGCTGGGATGTGAGATTTAGGGAGTGGGTTAAGAGGAAGAAACCTTCAATTTTGCAAATGAAACATCATATGTGTTCTAAAAATGCAGTGACGCCGCTAAGGACACTATTGGCCGTCCAAATCCTCCCATCAAATTTATTATTTACTTTTATTTGTTCAGAATTAATAGGTAATTTTCTGTATTACACAAAATAAAATTATGATGAATTACTTAAAATAGCTTAGAGATAGAGTATGTGCATTGTTGACATAATAATGATAATAACAATAACAACAACAACAACAATAATAATAATTCTTGGAAAAAATACTCTCTTCGTCCGGAGTTTTGAAATATATAGAAATTAGAAAAGATACATTGTGTTTCAATATAAATATAATATCAATAGTTTTTCATTATGAAACGTAGTTTTGAAATATTAATTTCAATAGGATACATTGAAAGAGTTTAGGATGGGTTATGATTAATTGGAATGAACAATAAGACTCCTGGATTGAACAACATTAAAATATTTTATCCAATCGATTAATTAATTCAACTCAAAAATTTATATACCAGTTTATTTCGACAAGAAGCTAGCTCCGATGTGGGATATTCTTTAACATAAATATTCAAGCGTAAATGTAAATATTAATGATTAGATTAAGATGGTGAAAAGTCAAATATAAAATTATTTTGGGACGGGGACGTTCCGAGTAATATATTATACCTTGATGAAAGGGTCGGTGGAATCGTCAAGAACTTGAACAATGATGCGATCAGACGGCCAAGAAAGGCCACATGCGGCCCCGATGGAAAGCTGATACACCTGCACACCATTTTACACATATTATGCCCCCAACAAACTTTCCTTCACTTCGCTTTACACTTTACCCAAACCAAAATTTCAATATGTTCTTTCTATTTCTGCTGAGACGCTTTACTTTCACACTAAGTTGCACGGAGACGGGGACGGGAACTTATAAGGGGACGGGGTCGGTAGCCTGAAACACCAATATTTTTTTTCATAAGTTATAAAGGATTTGGGTGTGGGGACGCCCCCAAGTACCCGACTTGGGACGTTTTGGGGACGAGAAGCGACACCTATTTGAACCATTCGGGCAACATAGCTTTCACATTGTACAATTGTTATTCGATACTTCTTTCTTCCCAAAAATATGTCTCGCAAAAACGTGACAAAATTTCAAATATTTTTGAACATGCACGCACATCCGCACATAAATATTCAGAAAAAGAATCCAGCTAAGGGCGTAAAACTCAATCAAAATATAGGGTTCACAAGGATATAATATAATACTCCCTCCGTCCCAGAAAACCTTTCTCCTTTCTTTTTTCATTCGTCCCAAAAAACACTTCTCATTTCTAATAAAAAGTCACTTTTACCCCTTACTTTTTCATACCCTATCTATCACATCATACCTTTTTACTAATAATCTATCCATCAAATCATACTTTTACCCATCACATCAAAGGATATTTTTGGAAATTCAATACCAAAATACACTCCCCTTAAATCTCTCTCCAAAACCAAAACTTCCATGTTTTCTAGGACGGAGGGAGTACGAGACATTTATACATTGCATTATTGCATAAAACCATTGTGTAGGGACTAGAGAGAAATCACATTAATGACCCTAGGAAGCTATTATCTTTTGTTTTTTTGTTTTTGCAAAAAAAAAAAAACTTAAAAAGTGAAGACCTCTTGGCATTTTGTACTTTTGTTCTCCGAGGCTAAAAAGAACAACTTTTTAAGAAAAATACCAGGTATACGCGACTTTCGTGTATAAGTGGTGTACATAATTTATACACTAGTGTGTTACAGAAAGACAGACAACAATAGTCTGTCTATGCACAAGACAATGGATGCCAATGTGTGTTAGTGTCACTAACATACTCCCTCCGTCCCTCGTAGATCTTCCCAATAGCCTTTTTTATTTGTCTCACATAGATTCTCATTACCTTTTTTAACATTTAAAATACCACAATTACCCCACTTATTTTATTTATTACACCTTTTCCACCTTATTGAATACACCCCACCCATTTTCATTAAGGATATTTTGGTAAACTTTCACCTTTTTTCAACTCTCCTTAAAAACCGCAAAAAATCAAAACGAGAAGATCTTATGGGGACAGAGGGAGTATTAGTATAGTGATGTGTACATACATCTAACATAACTCATACTCCCTTCGTCCTTAAAAAAGTTACTTTATTATTATTACGATCTCTCGATAACTTTTATAGTTTTACTGTGTATTTGTTTACATGTTTTTATTGATCATTTGATAAAATAAGATATTCTTGTCACATCTTGTTTTGTAGAGTTTTTAATGTAGTTTTTTAATATAAAATTATTACGGAGTATTTTTTTATTTTTTTACCAATTTGTAAATTAAAATCATTTACGAAGTTTTGCATGTTAATCAAAGAAGAAAATATGGAGGAGGTATTCTAATGTAGAAATGAAATGGATGGAATAGTGGTAGTAGGAATGCAGACCTCTCTCTCGTTGAACATGGGGATTTGAACAAGAACGGTGGGGTAATCAGCCGCCGAGCCCCCCAGCTCCACGTCGTCGTCTTCGTCGTCGTCATTCAACCCCTCGAATTTGTAGCGTTTCTCCCCCTTTCCCCACCCAAACACCCTCACAAAAGCGACCACCACTCCCATGTACACCCTCTCCACGAACAGCATCACAGACATTCCCAGACACAGAACAACCGCCATCCTCAGGACGGGCACCATCACCGGGGCCCGCATTACGGCCCACATCCCCCCCGGAAATGTCGGCAGAACCCGATCCATCGCCCCCGCCGCCACGGATGGTTTACGGAAGCAGGGGAGGAAATCCCAGAAGCTCTCTGCTGCTAGCTGCCGATGTAATCAATGGCGAGCAGGTTACAGAAGCAGAGCAATGCTCCCTTCTGTGGGAGGAATATAAAATTACTGTCTGCAAGTATTAATAAGAGATGTGAGAGAGAGGGGAGGGAGAAGATAGGTGGGGGAGAGAGAGACAGAGAAGACTATTTTTTTTAAAGGAAGAGAAGACTCTCTTTATAGAAAGGGGGAGCTCTGTTTTTATTCACTGGAGGAGTTTTTACATAAAAGTACTGTTTCAACTACTACCAGTAAGCGGGTTGGTTCTATACTCCCTAGGGGTGGGCACCGATCGGGACGATCCGAGTTTTAGATTGTCCCACGTCTTGTCTCGTTATATATAAACGGTCCGAACCGGTTGGAATTACAATCCTATCCTAGTTTGTCTCATAAAATTTGGGATCAGAATAAATCGGGATAGATTCGGATCGTACTACTTTGTCCTAATCGCAAATATAAAAAGGGGAAGAGGGTGACATTTCATTGAAAAAAAGAAACATCTAGCCATTCAATAAAAAATAATGAGTGGAACGGGCCCAAATAAATTTCAAGTCTATGAAGTTAACTTAAATAAATAACTAATTAATTAAAAAATGAATGTATTTGGCTACAATTAGTATTACTATATATTAGTAGATGAAACGGGACAAACGGGACGGATCAGTATGAATTTAAGCTGTCCCGCTCATGTCCCATTTGATATTGGGACAGAACGGGTTTGGGATAAAAAAATGTGTCTCAATATATTGGTACAATTATAAAACGGATCTAGGATTTTTCGGAACGGTCCAACGGGAACGGATTTCACGCCCACCCTTACTACTCCCTCTTTGGTCAAGTCTTGAACTGGAATAGTTTTTATATGATTGAAATAATTTCTGATTTGGTCTATTATAATCTAATTTCAATGTAATTATATTTAACATTATTACGAATGTGATCTGATTCTAATGAAAAAAAGTAATAAGAATAATGTGAAGAGGACATTAATTTAGTGTATTTCTTCTAATTCTTTTAGGCCCCGTTTGGTACACGGAATTCAAATTATGGAATTGGAATTAAGGACTTTAATTCCATATCTAGTGTTTGGTAGCACAAAAATTATGTGAATTTGGAATTGGTAGTGCAAAAAATGAATTGAGATTGATGAATTCAATTCTATAGAATTCAATCCCATGAAATTTCAATTCCAAATCAATTCCAATTCCATCAATTTCGTATACCAAACAGACCCTTAGTGGAATTGGATGATTTTTGAGTTTTAATTATTCTCAATTTGTATTGTATATAAGTACAACGAAATAAAATTTTAAAAATTTTTAAAAAGATAAATCTTATAAAATTATTTCATGCCAAAATGTATCATAATTTTATTCTAATTTAATTGAAGCTTAAATTCATTTAGTCTGATTTGAAAAGTTCAGACTAGTTTTGAATGTAGTAGGAGGTTACAAAAAAAACAAAATAGGTGAAGGTTTTGTGTCTCACAGCCGACTAGTAGTAGGGTCTTTTTCCAACTATGGTCCCAAGTCAATTCCAATAGTGAATTCTACAAATGCTCTTTAATTGAAGATATTTCATACTCCTTTAGTTTTAATGTGTTTCTTCATTCCATTTGATTTTTCCTAATTAAATTACACAAACTTTAATACAGGGCCGGCCTCGAAAATTGAAAAAATAAAATTGGCCCGGTCCTAAATTTATATTTTGGGCCCTATTTTATTTTTTTAGAATACTTTTCTTTTAAAATTATTAACAAATTTAAATATATGGGGCCCTAAAATTTTAGGGGCCCTGTGCGGTTGGCCACTTTGCACACCCTCCGGGCCACCCATGCTTTAATACTCTGTAAATTGTAATCAATTAAATAAATACGATGTAATAGAATATATAATACGGAGCAATAAAATGGAACAATTTTTTTTTAAAAAAAATGCAACATAAAAGATTGATATATTGAGCCAAATAGGGAACCATTTGTGTTATAAGCCGAATTGGGTACTCCGTATTATTCATCAACTCTATTATTATCAAAGCGAATGATTTTTCTAACAAAAATTGAAATCATTTTTGTGGTAATATGTTATTCAATTTTTGTTTAATAATTGATCAGAGTTTGTTCAATATTATTGTATAAAAATAAACTGAACAAAGATATTGGAACGAAGATAGCATTTAATTTTTAAAAATCAACCATGAGTTTTCTCTGCGGCTTCTTAGGGGCCTTTTTTATCATTTTCACTTGGGCATGTCATAGCGTACGTGGAGACACACACGCATGTCTGTACGCATTTGTACAATAGGCCCAACACACAAATTCATGAGGATTTCATCCTAAAATTAATTGACGACAGAATTTAGCATGAGAGACCATCAAATTTATATGTTAGAGGTGTTTTTGTTTCTCTTTTAATGTAATTTTTTAATTTCACTCCAAGTGTCTTGAAAATTGAATTGGAAATAACTTCACGAGAGGAGTATAACTTTAATTTACACAATGTGATGATTTCTTTGCACTAGTATATGAGTGTATGCATCTCTTTGATAATATACTGGACAATGGACAACAAGGCATACATAACTCAAAAATCCAAGCATGAGTGAGTGTTCAAACATACCC